TTAGACGTGTAAAATTTAAACCTGAATCTTTACACTACAACATAAAATTCATAAAATACAATAACAAAATATTCTAAAAATAACTGACATCAATAAAATTATTACATTAACTATCATAAAAAGTTTTGAGAAATTTCAAAAAATGCCATTTTTCAAGTGCCACTTTACAAAAATACCACACTTTTGAAATCTTTACAAAAATGCCACTTTTTCAAAATTATTTTTTCTTTATATTATTTATGTTTGGGTTAATTATGTTCTATTAGGGTTTAGTTTTGAGTGTTTAGGGGGCTTTAGGTGTCAAAACATTTTTTAGGGTTTAGAATTTTAAGATATAGGCTTTATAAATCTATAATTAGTGGCATTTTTGTAAATGGACACCCTTAAGTGGTATTTTTGCAAATATACACACAAAAAGTGGTATTTTTGTAATTGCCCCAAAAGTTTTTCTCAAAAAAAAAAAAACTATCGTAAAAAGTTAACGTCAATATATTTTGTTGCAAAATAATCACAAAAAGAGAGAAAAAAAACGTGACTATGTATTATTATTCTTTTAATTTTCTACATTATAAATCTCATATAGATTTTATAGTTTCCATTTTGAAATTATGTAATTTCTATTTTTTCCTTATTTGTTATTTTGACTTCTTTTAAAGATAAATGACTAATAATAGCAAAGTTTATATTAATTTATACCATAACATTGACACATGTTACGATCTAAATTAATAATAACACATGTCACAATCTGGTCAATTAGAATTTTGCTTATGTGTTCTCATCGTGCACATCTTCCTTTATATAATAATACTAAGTGAGTACCCACACTACGTGCTGGTTTATATATTTTACTATTTTCAAAACTATTTTCATATAATATTGGTTTATGTATTATGTTTTATATTAAGTATAATTGAATTCTTTAATTGTGTAAAATACAATATACAATTTCTAGTCGCAAAAGAAATTCGGTTATGTTGGTTATGTTACAATTTCTAGTTGCAAAAGATGAGAGTAATCATGATTAGAGATTAGGATTTTTCTTTAAATTATTGTTTTAACGTAAAAAGATATATAATTATAAAATGATAAAATTAGAATTTGATGTCGGCTAAATGGTAGTTACTACATTATGTTTTATATAATGTTAGATAATAAA